GAGTCCGACAGCACAGAAAGATTATGTTTCAGATGGACTCCACTTGCTCCATGGGGCTGCTGAGGAACGGGATGAGAACCTAATAGCTGGTGTGGCAGAGCTGGATGATACAGAGGACAAGTATGACATTGGATATCAAGAAGAAGGTGTGGACTCTGACAATGAAATGATGGAGGATCCTGGACACAGAGCAGGAAATCCCAAATGGGAGAAGAAAAAAACCCAGACCCTAAAATATGATAAATCTGGTCAGCCCAGTTTCACACAGAGAATGGTGTCCACTAGAGAATATAGCTGTGATAAAGCTCATGGACTGTTAAAATTATAGACTGCAAACACTCTCACTCACACTCTCAACCTCTACTCAAGCTTTGCACGTGTAAAAAAGTGTGCTAAATTGATTTCACCTGCAAAAACATGCAAGATCTACTAATGGTGTGCACTAAGGATTGCGTGCAAAATACTGTGCAATGTTCATTTAGTACGTTTGCCTTAATGAAAATGCAATTTCCTGTGTTTCTACCCGAGTGCCCAAAATATTTGGAGGAGTTGATGCAAATGCTTTAATTTAGCACACGCAATTATTTTTAGTAGATCACTGGTAAAACGCCCACCAATCAACTGTTGATTTTAATGTATTTAATACCAAAAACCTCACTAGTGGGATTGTATGTCCAGTCTTGGTGCCGACTTGTTGACTCTCTCAACAAGAGGTTGTAGAAAGCTGAGCAGACGTATCTATTAAAACACTTTTTTAACTGCATTAAAGGTGCGAATGATATTTATAAAAACATTGTAAAAAATATATTTTTGCTGTTGTTGCAAAGGCAGGATATATATGTTTCAGTCGTTTGTTTAGGCTTCAAGATAACTTGAATGTTGTGTTGTTAGCGTTTGTAACTGTTCAGGGTGAACATAACCTGTTAACTTACAGTAATGTTATATTTACAAGCATGTTATTTCAGTGGCATTGTTTATTGAGAAGATATGTTTACTCTCAGAACAAGAGCATCAAGAGAGGGTTGTATAAAAGCAGAGTGGACATACTTATTAAAACATTGCGATAACTGCATATAACATGTCTGCTGCCCTAATTTGATGCATCCCATCACCATACACTGACAGAATGGCAACACTTCCATTATTTTATGAGATTGATCAATAGGTGCTCTAGCTGTTGCTCCATTTAGTTTTCTCTGTTTAGGTCTTACTATTTTAGCCTCTGTTTTTTCTTCATCTTTATCATCTGGTTCCTCTTTTACTTTACCTCCTTTTATTCTTTTTCTCTCTGCAGCTGTCATGGAGCGTGTGTGCTCAAGCAGTAGTCCCCCTGCTTCTCCTCTGCCTGCATTTGGATCATTGTCCAGCACAGCAGCATACTCCATAAGAGACCTTTTACTATCATTACGTTTTACAGGTCTTTAGTGTACTGGCCTGTGTGCATCTGCAAAGTAGCATAGTAGGATGCCAATCAAGGTAGCTGAGTGAGTAATTTGTCCACATTGGAATGAGAGTGTTTATCTGCCGATGTATGGCACACGGCACAGTCTTTTTTTTTGGTGCTGGATATTAGGCTTTTAACGCTGCCATTTTGGAGCTTTTCAGTGTCCGTGCATGTGCAAATAATGGGAATGGGTTTGCATTAATGTTTGGAGCTAATTTGAGAGCATAAGGCTTTGTCCCGCTTTTGTGACCTTGCGCCTTTAATCTCTTATGCTTCCTCCCCTGGCTTAGAGGAGTCCAGTTGTTTGGAAGATTTTGAAGTACACATCTGCGATCCAATTTCTTCTCATTTTGAGAGACATGCACACAAAAATTGATTATCCCAATTTGAATTTCCTTGCCTTACTTAACTATATCAGCCATACTTTTAAACTGCATAGGGGCAAATGACCCACTAACTGGCCATTCACCATCATTGTGGGTAGCTGTGGCTGAGGGGTAGAGCGGTCGTCCAACCAGAAGGTCCCAGAAGGTCGGAAGTTTGATTCCCAGTCTTCCCATCTGAATGCCAAAGTGTCCTTGGATGCTGAACCCCAAACTGCCCCATAGAACAACAATAAAAAAGTGCTACTCTAGATGCACTGTATGAATGTGTGTGTGAATGGGTGAATGGCAAACTGTAGTGTAAAGCGCTTTGAGTGGTCTTCAAGACTAGAAAAGCACTATATAAATACAACCATTTATCAGTCCACTAATTTCACTCATAGGTTAAAGGTATCAAGTATTCACCTGCTTGTTTAACAACAGTATCAGTAGGAGTGCCAGTTTGAATTAGAAGATCGTTTTTCTTAGTAACAAGCCTTTCTTTTTCAGATGTTTTGTAGTTTTAGGTCTGTCAAATTCCTGTTGCTGAAGAAAAAAAATGCATAGAAGAAAAACGCCTATCACTCTTTTCTCTGCCATTGTCTCTGCATAAGACTTTAGCAGGTGATATACACAGCGAAAAGACGCAGACCAAGCTATTTAATTCCTGCACTTTCTTATCCCTCCTTCTCTGCTACTGTCTCTGTATCAGCCTTGTGCAGGTGTTGGAACACAGCAAATGGAGTCAGATAGAACTGCCATACATTTTTTCTTCCTTTTCATTTTTGTCATCAGAGCTCTGTAAATCAGTGTCTAAGCAATTCACAAAAGTTTCAGTCAATTCACAATATCACTATTTGTTGCACAGGTTCATTCACAAAACAGAAACGATGTTTCCAAAGGGCACAGCTCAACCAGGCTCCTTAAATGAAGGACCCCAGCATGTGTGTAAGGGAGCTGATTATCTTACTCAGACTCAACCCTAAGTTGGCCAGAAACCACCACTTTTGTGATGTTGTTGGGGTTTGTAAAGCACCTTTACTACATGGACTTCTCCTGTCCTTTTATTCCAAAAAGTCATAGAAAGCAAGTGGAAGTCCATATAATAAAGCTGTGGAGGGCGGGAGTGGATGAAACCAGGTTAAAGAGTAACCGCTCACACGGGTTGCTCTGAAGTAAAGCAAATGCACCCGCAGGCAGCGATCATATGCAAACTCGGAATTAATATTGACATAAGGAGTTGTTCAGGCCGGGGAATGTTACCTTAGGTTTTAATTTTGGTGCCAATTGGACATTCAACAGTGGAGTTTAAAACAAGTACATTTTCCCACTGATCAGAAGGTGGGACTGTGAACATTGGTTAAAATTTTGGTGCTGATTAGACAATGTACAATGGAGTCAAAAACAACGTAATTTTCACACTGTTCAGTAGGTGGTACTATGACCCTGTCTTAGTTTTGACACATATGCAGCTGTTCAGGCCAAGACTGTGCTCATTGGTTTAAATTTTGGTGCAGATTGAACAATGTGCAGTGGAGTTATGACAACTTTGGCCCCTTTGGCAAAGTATTAACCTTCACCGCACTTCAATGTTTACATGGTTTGAGGAAATGTCACAATTCTGACCATGTTCTTAAAGGTTTTCTGAACTCAATTGAGCTGTATATTGTAAAGCAGCGAGCAGCAGTGCATCAAAGTATAAAACATGTCACTTCCTGTCACCAGCGGGTGACGCTCTGACGCTGAGTCGATATTGACATATGGATCTGTATAGGGCAGGAGTGTGATTGTGTGGATGGGCTTTAAGGCTGATTAGACAATGCAAAGAGGAGTTATAATAAATCCCTCTTTTTTGGCGAATCATCAAAATTTGACGCCATGCCACGGTCAGACCGTGTGAGGCATACCAAAAAATCGAGGTCGTTTCCATGTTGTTGAGATGACACTCATCGAGTTTAATGTTGGTCTGATGACAGCTCTAAGAGGAGTTTGTTCTAATACACCACATGTAAATGGTAAAAAATGGCCACTTAATTCAAAGTGGCCGACCTCCTGTTTGGTCTAGCATATTGATGCAAGGTATTTTTTTGTTTGAACACATTTCCCTCCCTATTTATGTACATATGGGTCAATTGTGGTGCTGGGGCTGTATTTTAGGGGGGCACTATTCAACTATTTTGCCACGCCCATTTCTTAAATCCATATGAATGTTTTCAAGGGGGGGTGCTGTTGTTACACAAATGTAATTTAAGTGAGATTGAACAATGTACACGGAAGTTACAGCATTTTCGTGTGTCATGGCGACTTGTTGAAGTTTTACGCTAAGCCTCTATTATGCCGTTCGACGAATTATTAATATTAATTAATATTTGGCATGTGTTTCGAGTTACGACAAAAAATGAGACAAATTCCACACCATGTGTGTAAGCAATGGGTAAAAACTGTGATCACATTAGAATAAAAAAATAAGGCACATATGAAATAACAAAACAAAAACCAACAGATACACTGCCAGTGGTTGAATATTATATATGATTTTGCAATGGCTTATGGTCATGTGACCTGGTCAGATGGATTTTTATCCATAAATATAAGGTGTCAAAAGCCAAAGCCTCTTTTTGTACAAGAAAAATGTCCAGCAAAGGAACAATATCCACGTCTTACCTCAGAATTAAAACTTTATATTTTATATGTAATTATATATACATATATGATTTTGAACATATAATAGTCACTTAACATATAACCACTGCAGTACATAACTGTTGGTTTCTCTTTGATTCTGTTATGTATTTCATGTGTGACTAAAGAAAAAAGGTTCTCACTATTGATCTCACTATACATGGTCACTATACACAACAGTTTAAACTTTCAGCTGAAAGGAAGTTTTCAGTCAACTTCCTCCTTCATAATATCCTTTGTTCAAAAACACGAGGATTTCCGTAACTGGTCTCACTGACGCAACGAGAAGTAAAAACTGTCCGATATGTCTGTTTTTTTAACTCCACCCCTGCAGCCGCCGGCAGATCACGTCGGCGGATAAAATCAGACACAGACCAAGTCGAACGCACCCTCAAGTGACTCGATCTTCGTCTGCCACATGTATTGTGGAAGCTGTAGTTTCTCGCACTGCTTTACTCCGTATCGCCAATACATATGCACTTTGCAATAGAACTACAAATCCCAGAGTTCAGCGCGACGCAGAGCGTGATCTACGCCTGTAGGCAAACCACAGTGTAGTACAGTTCTGTGACAGGTTAGCATCGGAAAATATCTCCGGACAGACGCGTCTGCGCACTGATATCTGCTGCCAGCGACGGCAGGGCGACACAGAAGGATGGGGTCCCGAATAAAGTAAGAACGTTCATCCGTTACTCTACATCAGGTTGTCAGCATCCTGCTGCTATGTTAGCTTTGTTGTCATACGTTATTGGGGAAGATGCAGTCCGATGCAAGGCCTTGACTTGTTGCGACACCCGCTAAAAACACTGATGGCACTATCATATCCTGTCTCGATCAGAACAACAATGCATGTGAAATGTCCCCGTTGGTTTGAGCTCCGCCAGTCGTTTACAGCGGAAACGTGTCAGAGGGGTACGGGTTAAGATAGTGGGAGTGAGTTGGGACCATTCAGCTCAGGTAAACATGGACACGGTCACGTTTGAATGCTGAACCTCCTGATAGTTCTCAGGACTGAAGTGCAGAACAGAGCTGCTGTGGTTTGACAGAAGGATCTACACGTATCTGTGCTAGCCTGTAGCCGAATGTCAGTCCACTGATTGACTGTTGACATTACAGGGCCCCGGCTTAACTGTCACTACCTGTTCATTGGAGATACGTTATGAGTTATTAAAATTAAATGATTTCATATTAAATGGTAATTGTCTATATTTCTGTATTGCTTTTCTAGACTTGATGACCATTCAAAGCGCTTTACAGCAGTTTTTTGCCATTCACCCATTCCCAAACATTCATACATATATGGGAAGCCCTTTTTTTTCTGAGGGACAATTTGGGGTTCAATATCTTGCAGAAGGACACATTGGAAGAGTGAACTACTGCTAACCTTTTTGCCACAGCCACCCCTACACCCCTTCAATGTCACCTGTATACCGCCACAGCAATATAATACAGAAAAGATTATTTGGTCTTTATGAGGCAGTGAATTTGGATCCTTCATTTCACTGTAGAGGGATAAAGCACTGCAGAAGTTCTGACTAAACTGAGTTAAAGAATGTACACACACTTGAGACAATGACATGCTTGAGTCAACATGATTGGAATGCCTGCTGTAAAAGTCCCAAATTTGTGTGGGACATTTTGATCATTAAAAATGTGTTTCAGAAAACCACTTTTGTTGATGGCCAAAAAAGTAATTTCCATGTTCACAATCAATAGTAGGTTAATTGTTAACAGTTTATGAAATACAGAGATCTTTTTCAGTTAGAAACCATTTGTATCCACAGATGAGACCTATGACTGCTGCCAAGATGAGTGAAAGGAAGAAGTTATGTAAAAACCAAGTTCTTTGAGTTATACATTTACCCTACAAAGTAGGGTGGGCAATCTGGTAAAAACCTTATTGAGAGAATTATTTAATATCAGTCGATATATATCACAGTTAGGGATGTGCGCTATTAAAAAATAATATCTTGATATCTTCTGGGATTTTGCCTATAATAATAATTAGACCACTGGTAGAGGCTGTCTGGGCCAGGCTCTCTGTCCGAAATGTGTGGGTGAATGAGAGTTAGAGTGAGGGAGGGAGGGAAGGAAGGAGGGAAGGAAAAAGAGAGAGGGATAAGGCTGAGAGACCCACACACACACACACCGTAAATTAGAAGGAAGGCTGTGATCTCTAGAATGCGGGAAAATTATTTATTGTCATCAAATACTGGGCTGGTGGAGAGGAGCGCTCACTCCGTATGCCTGTGTATCCTGGCTTAGCGCACCACAGCTTGGCCAAGCTTGTGCGAGGTGCCTGGCTCTCCCTCACTCACTCAAGGGCTGGTGGAGAGAGGCGCACCCTCCGTGTGGCTCTACCCAATACTCGATAACATGAGGTTGCACATCCTTAAAACAACAATTAAAATATTATCGTATCGATGATAAATGTCACACACCCCTAATCGTGATGGATCAAATCAGCACCACTGCACTAAGGCGCATTACTCTGGTCAGGTTGACAAGTGACTCTGCTTCTCTGACATTTTCTAATCACTCACTTGTAGAACTGATCTTTATAAAAACCTGCTGAATTCATATTTATGTTCCTGGATAAATGGGGTGTCGCTTCTTCTGCAACAATGAAGTTAAAACACAGCGTTAAGTTGAAATCTGCAGGAAGAACTTCTTTGTGTGCGTGTCTTCGCAGGTTTAAACATGTGTCTCATAAACTCTTGAGAACGAATCAAACAAACAAAAAAGTTAGCATCAGTACTGTACGTGTCCTGGTAACTTCTGATCAGTGATGGTGTTAAAACTAAACGCAGGTCAGCGTGTAGTCTGAAAGTACGACATTAGATGTTGTTAAATTATGTTCTGAAAGGAGAGGATTATGTGGAAGCACGATTAAATGTTACATTTTGACACCATATGTTAGGTTAAGGTCAAGGGGGTGATTAACATAATGAGTGGTTTGATAAACACTGACTGAAACCAATTGAGTCTAATATTGAAATGCATGCAACACAGGCTATCATTAATAATGTCCACACAAAAAATACCTCCAATAGTTACTTTATCTGTTTTAAGGACTAGGATTGATTAAGAGAATTTGGTAAAAAATTGAGAGTAAACCCCTGATTATCAGAATGAGCAGATAATGCTAAAAAAGCTAGTACAGAGAGAATAACCACCACAAGTGGCAGGAAAACAGGATATGATGGAACATGCTCACAGTAACACGTCAGCAACTATGAACTATTAATGGATGTTATTTGGATTCAGACAAAGTGATATCATGTCAAGTCTAAACCATAACCATTGCAAGCAGTGTTTGCCATAGTAGCAGCTAGGGATGCACGATATATATCGGTCCAATATATTATTGACTGGATAATGGGAATTAAATATAATTATTTATTTATCTGAATTGGAAGTTTTTCACACTTTCTGAGAGCTGTAGGATTGTAATTTGCAAAAAATGTGCAACAGTTATGAGAGGGGAACATTTTGAACACTACAGATCTTATAAGTCACCTAGAGTCCGTCATTGCGACGATGATGTACAGTATGTCGAGAATACGAGGCGCTTGCAGCCAGCGTTACTTAGGGGGAAAAAAGTGAGTGTGAGTGCAGCAGTGCCTATCCAGCAGGCATTTGAGAACTGCAGGAAGTTTGCTAGATACACTCCACAGACTAAAGCCATTCATGATAAAATCACGGAATTTATTGCTCTTGATGACCAGCCGTTTTCTGTGGTAAAAGACAAGGATTTCACCGGCTAATGGCACATTTCGAGCCGCACTACACTCTGCCAAGTTGCCGCTACTTGACAGATGTGTCCCTTAAGGATGTCATGATATGACATTTTGGTCCCACGATTATTGTCAGAGGATATATCACAGTTTCATGATTTTCATGATTATTGATACTATAGAAGGACAGACGCACACAATATATAGGTAATATATAGCTAATGATATAGCTAATGAACTAAAATATGTATTATTAACATCAACAATATGCATATAGTTTAACGTTTGGCTATTTAAAAGTAATTGTAAAAGTAATGCATGCGTGCGTGCGTAGTAAACAAGGATTTCACCTGTCCCTGTGAACGCCTCCGATAGAGTTTTTCGACCAGCATTGGTGGAAATAAGGCTGTTAAGTCAGTTCCCTCTTCTCAACTAATGTTCAGTGGCTCGCGTAAACAAAACGTTCCCAGTCTTCCCCATCTGCATGCCAAAGTGTCCTTGGGCAAGATGCTGAACCCCGAATGGCCTTTTCTTTTTTGAGCATAATATTCCATGCGCTTTTGTCAGTTTTTATCAGGCTTTCAGTTCCATAATATCCTTTATTTTTCAATGCACATTATTTTGTGTGAACTACTATTTTATTACATTGACATGACCTATTTTTGATTTTTTGATTTATTTTTATTTAGCCCTGGTTAACCATGGCTGTCTTTTTTACCCAAGTATGTTAAGTAAGTAAAATCTATCGTCATTGTGATATCAACTTGTGCAATAGACAGCAAAACTGCGATAATGGTGTTCCATGCGCCACGCATTCGCCCTCTGCAAGTCAATATATTTTGCCAATCAGATGGAGCCCTGCTGCCCTAGATAATAAATCAAAGACAGTCAGATCATTGATGGGTCAATGAATCATTGTCAGAAGAGAATAGAGAGAAAACATAATTTGAAAACAGAGATTTGACAGAGCAAGGCAGCTCCGTCAAATCTTGCTCCGCCTCCTCCTCCTAAATTCTGCTGTCGAAACTGCTAGTGATCACGTTTGTTCCAAATCAGATTGATCATTATGATCCATACTTTTATTAATGAGTTAAATCTTTCTTCAGAGCAGCACATTCATCAGCCGCTCACTCTTTTCCATCCTCCCTCCCTCTCTCTGTCTCTCTCTCTCAGACACACACACACACACACAGTTTACACCTGTGATCAGACACACAGACACAGGTAAACTCAGACTTCATAAACTTAGTAAATGTATGGAGCTGAAGGAGATGGTGACGTGGTCCATTTGGTTTGATGCAGTTGGTGTAGCGCACAGCGCCAATGACTGAGACACAAGAGAGGATGTAAATAATTGACAGAGCTGCTAAATATTGTAAAAAAAATTACGAAAATATGTATGAAAAGACCCCAAATTAACACTGTCAGTGGACTTATTTGAACTGTGCAAGACTCCCTGGTGTCTGCCCCTGACTTGGTGACACTATGGCCAGGCTGTGCGCCTTCTCCCAGCTGTGAAGCCTCTGTAGCCAGGGACTGTTTTTGTTTATCGCAAGTCATATTAACATTGCAATATTCAACAAGCATATTGCATGTTTTCCTAATATCGTCCAGCCCTAAAATAAACACTCTCATAATTACAAAATAACAATAGGTAAATAAATAAGTAAAGTTTTTTTTTTTTTAACTATGATTTATTATGACTATTCAGTTGGACTGTCAGATTGACTGTCCTACTGTACAATTTGTCATTATTACACTGTTACTGCACTGTCATAACACTTTACTATGTTTATCTCTTAGCTGTGTTTTTATAAAGGAAAACATAAAAAAATAAAAAAACTGTACATTTAGATTTTTACTTCTTGATTCTGTTCTGATTTCTAAAATCGGTTAAACGCTGCTGTAACAAGAAGAGCTGCTAAAAGAATTTTCACTGTTGAATCTTGACAATTTTGAACACTGACAATAAAGGATTCTGATTCTGATAAATATCCTTTATTTAATAATCCCTTAGCATGCAACATTTAGAAAATGAACTGTACTTGAACTGCATCTTTATTGTATGATTATTATTATTAAATATATACATTTTCATTAAAAACATTTATTCAAAAAAAATGTACAGAGAAGGTTTGATGCCCTGCTGTTACTAACAATGTCTCCGCTGTGGAAAACACTCACTCTAGGGACAGAGGTTTATAAAGGGCTGGAGTGACTGGCAGAAATGCAGACGAGAGGGAACTTTGTAATGGGGCATGGTTACTTTCAGTGTGTAGGAACCATGCATTAAAACAGAGATGCATGTCCGCTGCTAAAAACACCTAAGTGACTTGTTATTGCTTTGTCTTGGTCTGAATTTTTTGCAGGCGGGTCCCCTCAATTATTTTTGAGGGGACCCTCTCTACGGAGGCCTCCATGTTTTTTACATTAGTCCAGACTGGACAAACTAAACACCTTTTGAGTTTTCATGACAACTTAAGGCTACCACCAATTATTTTTCATGTTTGGAAGGGGAGGGTGAAGTGAGGGGTATTCAGCTGCAACATGCAATTTCAACACTAGATATCAGAAAATTCTACACACGGTACCTTTAACCAGGGTTGAATAAAAGAAATCAAAAAGTTAATCCTTGTTTACTTTCGGTTTCTAACCAGCTCCACAGGAGCGGCTGATACACCCACACCTCTCTTTCTTTACCTATTAACCTTTTTAAATGTAGCCAGGAGTTAAATTCACCTATACTGAGAGGCAATAGTATAATAAGGTCATGAAGAATGTGGCTTGAACCAGGATAGTTTACCTGTTTACCTTTTCACAACTAGTTAATACCTCTCTCCCAAAAACAACTTCCGTTGGTGACCATTCACAATAAAAGTCCCATACAGATACACTGCTTATGGTGACAGGAAACACAAATTCACTGACCAACCTTCCACAATAAGACAACTATTGTCGAACCCTGACCTCAAAACCAAGGTATGTACAGAGCCATGATTTTTGTGTACCGTTACACCCCTAGTGCCTTGTAGTTTTCCTCAGATTTCCTTACATGTGAATTGAGCAACACAACAATATGAATGATGTTATTTCACACTTGTTTCCCATTATATTTCCAAGGCATGTCATCCAGCTAGACATTTCAATTTAACAGCATATCTATTAATTTATTTACTGTACAGCCTACTACATTGGCAAGTCTCGGCACTTGTTATATCCTCATGGAATATAACACAACCTTTTCATGAACGTTGCTCTGACTCCTCTACTGTATTCCTATCTGTGTCAGACACAGCTTCATCTGAATCTGAACTGACCTGCTCCCTCCTATGCTGATTGTGGTCCATTTTTGAAGCAGTCTAACTTTGCAGCCAGCAGAGGACCGGTACTCACATCCTTATACCTGTCTCCAATGCTGTTAACAAGCCTGTCAATCAGCATATTCCAGGATGAAATTAGGACTTATTCTTTAGCTTTACCGCATTGAAGGAGACTTCTTAAAAAGTGTTGTCTTTGGTTGCCTTCATCAGAGTTAGCAATATCACAGAAACCTTAAGCACTACATTAACATAAACCTGTTTGACGATTACCTGCAGCAAATGCTTCTTTATGGTTAATATGCATATATGCAGTACATGGCAACACATTTGTTGGCAGGTACTGTCAGACTCTTCTTTTACCTCCAGATTGATTTTAACGGTCAGTGGTAGCACTTAAGCAATGTTTAGCTTGACCAAGTGTCCATTCCTGGTGCAAAAAATTATGTCTCCATATCTCTTGCGTGGCGCTATAATGGCAGTTAACAGCGAAGGTTAATCCAAGTATTTTGAGATGGAGTCACTGCACTTCTGTGTTATAGTGTGTAGTGAAGTAGAAACCTGCCAGTGACCTATTTATTTAATTTGCCAATGTACATTTTTACCTATATTTGGTGAGTGGTGGTTGCTTATATTAGACTTTGGCCTCTTGAATGTAACACTTCAAGTCTGTGTTTATGGAATTTCAAATTATGACCAGTTGTCAGTTTCAAACACTGAGTGAATCATTTTCAGTGGTCAAAATTCACAGTGACCTCATGAATCTGAGTTTTTTTTCTCCGACTGAAATCACTCTTGTTGGCAAACCTAGAATGACCGCCATTCAACTTTCCAGAGTTTTCCTTTTTTAAAACAAATGAATGGATTGTGGTGGCTGTGGCTGAGGGTCGTCCTCCAACCAGAACCCATCTGCATGCCCGAGTGTCCTTGGCCCCTAATAGAAAAAAGTGCTGCCCATAGATGCACTGCAAACTAAAACGCTGGAGTGCCTTTATATTGAAACAGGTAGATTACAGGAAGTGTTGCAAATATTTATGCTAATGACATATTCAACAGTTAAACATCGAAACTGTGCTGAAAGAACATTTTCTCTGTCGGTTCTGTTGTGAACCATGTGCGAAACGCAGAAACAAACAGTGAGACCTCAAATTTCTAGAAAAGGAGCACCACTTCTGCAGCCAGTGTGCCAGCTCTAATCTTCTAACATAAGGGCTGTAGTGGTAAAAACTCCTGAAGTATCGTGTGCACGAGTAAGAGAATCTAAGTCTAAATCAGCAAGTGTGGAGTAAAACAAGCTTTGAACTAGGCCTGGGGCGATAACAAATTTTGCTGGACTATATATTGTCCCACAAATTATTGCCGAAAAACAATATTATTGATAATGATAATATATCATAATAATGCACACCCTTTCAAATACAATACACTTTTATTTCTCAGTGTTTTTTACCATTGTAATTTCAAGAACTTTTAAATAACCTAAATAAATAAAACAAACCAAAACAATAAACAAAAAATAAAATGGACTCTCAGTCTCTGTTAGCAAAAATTGCACTTGAATAAAAATCACAACCAAAAACAATAAAATAGATCTTTCTCTGTTAAGAAAAACAGCACATATAAAACCACACACAACCAARACAATAAATAAAATGGCTTATCAAGTCTCGACAAACAAAATTGCACTTCAATAAATATTGAACATTTAGGCCGTTTGTGACATGTATTTTCTCGCAGGCAATTCGTACTGTCTGTCAAATGTTTGCAGCATCTTTCTCAATGCTGGCTTTTCCACTGTACTAAAGGGCAGCATTTATTTTGCAATGTAGCGAACTACACTTTCTGTGAGCGAACACCATTTTGCGCTGTTCCGTTTATATTTACTTTGTCGACCAAACGCCTCAGTGAGTGTTGACTGTCGGGACGAAGGCTCTGCATCTCGAGGTGCAGTTTTTTTCCCCAGCTCGGAAAACTGGGTCGGGTGGTTATGCTTTGGGTGGGCATGCAAGTTTGTTGTGTTGCCTTTTTTTGTTGCCGCCACTTTTGAACTGTGAAATATTCAACTGACCTCATTTTGAGAGCCTTCATTCTGTTTTGGATTTAATTGAGTCAGATTTAATTCAACAGATGTTGAAGGATCTTTGCAGACTAAGTGACTTAATAATTGGGAACATAAAATCACTTTGAAAACAGATATTTGTAAAACTGATCGTAATTCTGTATTTATATAGCACTTTTCAAGTCTTGATGACCACTCAAAGCTTTACAGGACAGTTTTTGCACTCACACATTAATTCATACAGTGCATCACCTTCTCTATGAGAAGGGGCAACTTTGGGGTTCTGTATCTTGCCCAAGGACACTTCGGCATGCACATATAACTGGTCATTGACTGGCCGAAGGCAGCATCAGGTTGAAATCTGGCTGCCATATATAAGGACACCTGACCACTAATTTGATATGTAGAGTTCCTGTTGCCATTAGTGAAATTGGCTTAATAAAAACATATTTTTTTAAATAAAAGACTCTACTAAACAATAAATATGTATATAATTTGCAAACAACATATTGATGAACTGTGTTTCTCTATTCCAGGGAGAGCCCAGAGTCCACCTTTGAGGTGTATGTAGAGGTAGCCCATCCAGGCTCACACAGCTCAGGTAAGTTTTATTAAGGCTTCAGCCTCAGCAAATCCTGGAACACATGCATATTTTACACAATTGTTAAAATAATACAGCCAAGGATTACCTTATGTATCATGCCACATTTCAACTTTCAGTCTTTATGTACCAGAAAAAACAAATTAACAATGATGTGATTTAACAGGAGGTTTGTTTACCTGAAGATCAGTGTTTGCCATTAAGAACCTTGTCTGTGATGGCCGACCATAATAATAATAATAACTKTATTTGTATAGCACTTATCTAGACACAGTTACAAAGTGCTTCACAAAAAGAAGAATTAACAAAAGCAGATTGTAACATATTAAAGTTGAGACCTTAATTTATAGAGAAACCCAATAGTTCCCACAATGAGCAAGCACCATAAA